GGGATTCAAGGGTATTTCCCCTCTGTCGCCGCCGCCTAGCTGGTGTTTTCAAGAATTGAGGCAAATGTTCGCATCCCAGGTATGTGTATAGGTAGAGAAGGAGAAGGCATGTTGATCGCCGGAATCACAGTTTTGTTCGTCTGAGCTTTCGAACTCTTATTGTTGTTCATCGTCGGCGATAAAAGCGTCAACAAAAAACAAGCAGCAGTTATAAGGAGCAAGGGCCAATCAACCGCCAGTAACGTCATTTGCAGATGCCTGCGCGGGAGTCTGTATGCCGGCACCGGATCGGTAAATCGATTGAGCGATTTTTCTGCCGAGGTTCAGGCTTGAATCAACTATAGGTCTGTCTTGTTGCCGGCATGGGCGATTATCCTTGCAGCTGCAAAAATTAAACTCGTGACCCGTGACTCGTAGGTGTAGGCGAGCACTTGCAACAATGCGTCACCCCGTCTGACAGCCAGCTTATGTTCGTGTATGCGCGAGCCAAGCATGCATTCACTCTGTACTGTGTAATTTCGGGGACAATTTTGGACATGTCATGCGATACACTACATCCGACTGCGCACTGGGATTAAATCGGTCCTTGATTCTCATGACTCGGCTGCGTTTGGTAGTTTTGGGACGGTGTGCAGTTCCGACGCCTAGTCCCGTAGCAATGCGCTCGGTCGCTTCCGACACATCATTGATGTACAGCAGCGCATGCCATATCGTACGGGTTGGTTCTGGTTGGGTGCTCAGAGGACGAGTCTGCAATCTCGTCACACGACCGCCAGTGTGTAGGGAACTGCCTACCTTCGACCAGGTGCTCTGTGTTTGTGTTCGCCAAACCAAAGCAGGCTTCAAGGATCTTTCCCTTCTATTGTGGCAGCCTAGTTTGCGTCTTACCTGTTACAAGTGGTCAGACAGATGAGTTCCGCTAGCGGTCAGGTGAACGTTCATCCACGAGTGTTAATATCCCTTGACCTAAACCGGCTAGACAACGAGCTCGTGGCTCAGTGCTTAGGGTGTTTGACTCTGATCAAAGAGGTCGGGTGGGGCACCACTTGTGTCCGGGTATGACTGTCTAACGACGGCGTATAAACCAGAAGTGGTCATTCCAGTCTCCCTTGTCTTTGCCGGCAATATTATCTGCCTATACTACCAGCTATTGCGGCTGTCAGGGCCTCAGTCGAGACCCAACGCAGAGCGGGACAGATGAGTTCCATTAGTGGGGTCAGGTGAACGTTCATCACTGTGTGGTCATCCTCTCTACAAACATTCGTCGTAGTCACGACGATAGTGATGTCTATCTGTTTTTCTTCCCATGCCTTACTCCCGCTCCTTGTTGCTTTCGTTGCTGTTGTAGGCGATGGTCGACACTATGAAACCGGGCTCAGTGATTGTTGACTTGGCAGCGGAGGCTGGAGGCAATGTGGAGACCACCCGACCGGGTGAGCTACACACCTACAACAACGTCATCCACGTGGGCTACACCGATCTGCCCAGTCGTTTGGCCGGCCAGTCTTCCACTCTATTTGCAAACAACATCACAAACTTTCTCCTCTCCATGGCTCCCAAGGGTGAGTGTCCGCCATGCTCATTTCCTACGCTGGTCCCAGTCTTGCTGACGATGGCTAATAAGTCAGAAATGGTCATTCCGGTCTCCTCCCCCTTCTCTTCCTTGTCGGCAATTTCATTCTGCTTATAAGTATTACTAGCGGCGATCAAATAAGCAGATAGTATTGCTGGTGCACCACCCGAGCCTTGAGCTCAGGGTGCCCTAACTATAGCGCTCAGCGAACGTTCGTCAACGAGTGTCAATATCTCCCGACCTAAACTGGCAAGAGGAGGAGCTCCTGGCTCATTTGTCAGAGTGTTAGAGTCTGATCAAGAAGTCGGGAGTTCAAGTCTCGGGTGGGGCTCCACTTGGGTCTGGGTATGACTGGCTGACGATGGCTAATAAGCCGGAAATGGCCGCATTCCAGTCCCCTCCCCCTTTTCTTTGCTGGCAATACTATCTGCTTATATTACTCGCTGCTACAGCTGCTGCCAGGGCCAGAGAAATGAGGTCCAAGGCAAGGGCGAAGTGAGTTCCGTTAGCGCTTGGGGAGCGTTCGTCAACGGATGATACTATTTTTATTATTATTACGGGTGGCTTAAGTAACTGTGGTAATAAAAGGAACTCTGATAATATTTGAAATGCAATTCTCAGGGAGGTTACTCGGAGAGAAATAAGCTATTGTCAGAGTTACATTTTTATTTTTCGTTATAAATTGCACTCTATATCGCCTCCCATCGCTTCTTAAAGTTCAATGGCAACTTCTGGTGCTGTACATGCAGAAGACTACCACAACTAGTTGTATCGCCGTTTAGCATCGACATACACAGCCATTTATTTGGCTTAGAAATCTTCACTGTCTTATACTAGTTCCTCCTTCTAGCAGCTTTTCCCACCAGGCCTTATCTATACGCGCCTAGTGTCAAACATATTTTCCGAGATTAATGGCTTTATAAGGCGCATAAGCTTGATCCGATCTTGTTTGATGACGTTTATAAAGATTATGCTTGCGCCATCATAGTTAAACTTGTTATGACGGGAAAACTGGTTCGACGGAACTATCTTTTCCTACATTGCACAGAAATATCCATAAACACGCGCTTAGTGTCAGACACATGTTCCGAGATTAATGGCTTTATAAGGCGCATAAGCTTGATCCGATCTTGTTTGATGAGGGTTTCTCGTCCGTCCAATTAAACTCACCGTTAATCGGCTTCCCTCACAAACACTCTTCAACATAATTTTTAGGGCATCCAGCGGCATTCAACCGCGTGCGCTTAGCTTGGCTCTGCCTGTAGGCCTGCGGAACTTTTGACTGACCTACAAAGATTAGGCCTGCATACTCCTAGTTAAACGAGTTGTGACGGAAATCTGGGTCAAGGGAAAATATTTTTTCCCTGCATTGCACAGAAATATCGTCCTGTTGGTCCTGATCCTGCTCTGTTTTTCCCCTTTAGATACAAAAGGCGTACTTGAACTGAATCTGAAAGACGAGGTTGTGCGGGGAAGCATGGTGCTTCACAAGGTTTGTGTGCAAAACGGTGATTTCCTGTTTTTTTTTTATCAGCTAACCTCATTTCATCGGACGCAGATATACGGTGTTCGTTTTTTTTTTCTAGAGATACTACTCATTTTTAACAAGGCAAAAATCACGAAACTAGCACTATTTATTGACGTCATACAATTTTGCGACCTCTTGTTTAACTGCAAATGGTCATTTCCTATTAATAAGGTAAATTAACTGTCCAATTAAGTACGACCTAGAGGGGTGCAACTTTATAAGTAAATAGAGTAGGCGCTAGTAGTCTTAGATGTAGGTGCATGGTGGGGGGGAGGTAGTTATCCCAACAAGGCAGTTCTTGTTATAGTGAAAGCTTGTGAAGCGTGATAAAACGGGGATGGGCAAAGGACAGGGCAGCAGGTTTTCGTAAGGGTGAGGGAGGAGGCGTAAGAGGGAATGGATTTATCGATCGTTACCACGGCAATCCAAGGTTGATCTCATGATCCAGCTGCTTACAGAGTCCCAATGTTTCTGCCGGTAATGCCTAAAATAGTCCTGGTTATGTTCTCCGTATTGCAGCGGCCTCCGCAAATCGTAGGAGACGCCCGGTCATCGCCCGAAGTACAACCTTAAATGCAATCCTTTGGTCGACTGTATTGCCAGTATCCCCTAAGAGCTTCGTGATTGAACTCTTGGTTATTTTATTTTTTACCGTGAGCAACCACTTCAGCATATTTTCAACTGACCACTTTGCCAACTGCGTTTACGTGCGCCCGATCTATTTACATCCGTAACTACATGTAAACTCATAAACACAGTTTGAATAGGCGTGCGTTGGCAGCATGTCTTCAGTTAATCCAATTGTAATAGCCGTTGTTGTGCTTACGTAAAACAATTTAGAGGCGGTGTACGTTCTTTCAGTCGTGCATGGAAGTCTATACTTGATTGTGTTAGACACATAATCACCCTTGAAAGAGAGGAACATGCTCATTGGCTTTTTTGGAACTGATACTTCGGGAGGATTTTCTTATCTGCGGTGGCTATACGTGTCTCTGTATTTCTCCGGATAGCCGTTTCAAAGAAACACTCTCTTGCGAAAACAGATCTCTTCATCGAAGAACAGATTTTACTGGCTCTATTGAATAGGCACAAAACCAAGTTTCGTTTCCTCCGAATTGGAACGAAACTAAGAAAGTGCATATACTGTCGCGGAATTGTATGAGGTCAATAAATTCTGCTAGTCTCGCGGTGTTTTCATTGTTCATATTTCTTCCGGGAAAGCAATGTTTCAGTTTCGTGAAAAGACTATCCATTTTGTTTTATCTCCCTCTGTATCGTTCGGGTTGATTGCCAATTACCAGCCTCGCCAATACCGTTGTTAAGTTACCAAGTACTGGTACTTTTCCGTACTTTCACCGAGTGCCCTGCTTATCGTCTACTGTAGTCAAGCCCGCCAACTGGGCCGTTATCGATGCCGCTGGCCTTGATAACCAGCGGGAACATAAAATACTGATTATGCTGCATTGCTCGCAGGCGCAACTACGATAGCCAAAAGCTAAAGAATACCTTTTGTAACAGTAGAATAGTGTGAGAAACGAACAGATGGGGTTCTGGGTCATGAGGAGGTTCTGCTTGGCTGAGAGTTCATTCTACTGCAGCAACCATGTCTGCAGGGCTGGCATCAGCTGTGTTGAATGAGGCTTCATGTCTTAGCACTCGCATTTGTTCCTCCGTCAGGTCATTGGTGACAGTTCGTGCACCAGTTTGACATATTTGAATGATATTGGAATAGGTAGCTTGCGAACATTAATTGCAAATGCTACTTCGTGCTTCGCTTTTTGTTCGCGGACTCGTTCGGCCACTCCCTGCTGAAGCAATTGTGTACCACTCTCGTCCATAAACTCGAAGCACTTTGCCTTCTTTTCTTTGAGCCTCTGACGGTACTTGCAAAGGTTCGCGTGATAGTCTTGAAGGACCACTGTGATCATACGTCTGCCGCACTGAGGCGCTGCGCGTCTCGCCAAATCACATTTTGGTAACACATTATTGTAGAGACACCTGTGCAGGAATCAAATCTGCGCATAAGTAGACGACTCCTGAAGGGCAAATGTTTCCCGCTAGGAGCGCATCGCGCCCAAACATATTGCCCATACTTACTTACTTGTACTTGTTGCGGCTGCGATCATGACTGATCTAGCTGGCCTCAATTATGTCCCGAATGGTGCTTCTTCAAGCGCGACTATTCATGGCCGCAGACCTGGACAGTTCAATCCATTCTCTTCGCCAGCGCCGGAGA